CTCAAAGTGTTCTTTGAAAATAAGAAGGTTGTTTAGCATACTTTAAAATTTTTTTGAAAGTGTCAGTAAATCAGTTACAGGGAGGGTGAATACTAACACATAACCATGATCCACTATAGGCTGCAGTTAGAAAAACTTAATGGTAAACAAGTTTTTTGGATTTTGAAGTGACAGAGGAACCTTCTACACATTCACTGGACAATTCTTACATTAAGGGTCTGGAATAGGAAGATTTTTTTTAAATTTTTGTTTTATAATTAAAGATTCATTACAGTGTGAATCATCACTGAGCAAGATTTTCACAAGGCATAATGTTTCACAGCAGTGAAGTCTTCTGTCACAGTCCTGCTACTGGCTGGCTCCTTAAATTTTCAGTCAGTTGGGTCCTTGGTCCAGATGTGTTATAACCATGTGGTTACAACCATGCTATAGTAGGTGGGACAATGAAATAACCACAGCTCCGATTTACAGTATGTTAACAGCCAGGAAATTGTATCTTAAGATGAAAGCAAGCACTCTGTTGTCCAAATACACTTTATTAGAAGGATGAATCCCTGCATGAGAGACAACACTATTAAGGAAGTATAATATGTAACCGATCACATGTGGTAGTGAAGCTGAACTAGGGTGACCATTAAAGTTGCCATTCTAAATTTTTTCATCGTGACCCTTCCACAGGGGCTGCTGACAAGTTAGAAAACACAAGTAGCAACTGAGGTACCACCACTGAAATTCATACAGGATTTGCTACACAAACCCTATCCAACCATCCCTACAGCAGGTACAGACACATCTGTGACAGAAGCATAGAATCACAGAATCGACTAAACTGGAAAATACCTCTGAGATAATCGAGTCCAACCTGTGACCTAACACCACCCTGTGAACTAGACCATGGCACTAACTGCCACATCCAGTCTTTTCTTGAACACCTCCAGGGACAGTGACTCCACCACCTCCCTAGGCAGCCCATTCCAATGCCTAATCACTCTTCCGGTGAAGAACTTCTTCCTAAACCTCCTCTGGTGCACCTTAAGACCGTGCCCTCTTGTCCTGTTGTGGCCTCCAACAAGAGACCAAACCCCACCTGGCTACAACCTCCTTTCAGGTAGTTGTAGAAAGCGATAAGGTCTTCCCTGAGCCTCCTCTTCTCCAGGCTAAACAACCTCAGCTCCCTCAGCTGCTCCTCACAGGACTATGCTCCAGACTTTTCAGCAGCCTTGTTGCCCTTCTCTGGACACACTCCAGCACCTCCATATCCTTCCTAAACTGAGGGGCCCAGCACTGGACACAGTACTAGAAGTGAGGCCTCACTAGTGTTGAGTACAGAGTAAGAATCACTTCTCTCATCCTGCGGGCAAGAACACAGCAGGTACATCACCCTGCTCTCACTCCACAGGGTGCCAATCAGCATGCAGCACCTGCATGCTATTTTCTTTATTTGTCCAATTGTCTTTTCACTGGGAAAGAAGAACAGCAAATGACAATAAACCCAGGGACACTAAAAGATCTTTACTGTTGTTACCTTCATGCTTCTCATTTCACATCAAGCTTTAAGCCTCAGTCTAAAATTTCAATTGAAAAAAACAAAGTATTGACCAGTGCTTGTTAATTCATGATTCAAAAACAACACTAAAGGAAAATAATTTATCAGCAGGCCATGAAGAACATATAGAGAAAAGATGCATGATCTGAAGCACCTTTTTGTTGTTGTTGGTTATAAATATAAATTCACTAAACTTTAGATTAAATGCTTAGATAACTGTTTTGGGCACACACAGCCCTAGTTGAGCAGACAAAATTAAAGAGTTGTAAATTTTCTTTTAAAATATAGAACTTTAAAAAAGGACTTACAAGCTTCTACATTTCGGGTTATTTACAAAAGAATTAATTCTATGTAGACTTTCAAGATACTATGGCTCTGAGTACTTGGAAAGTATTCTCTGAATCCTCTGTGTATTCATTTTTCTAGGCTTCCTGAGAAGTCTCTAGTTCAGATTAATTGTCAACAAACTGAAACGAAAACATTTAGGGTTTCTACTTTCTAGGTAGAAAGTGCGTTCATGGTCAGTTCCATTTTACTCCTTTTGTTATTGTTTTCCAGTGTAACCACCTTCTTTCTTAAAATGGTGATAAATTTCAGGGGGAAAATTACCTCAAATCTCAATTATTTATAGTAATCCATCAAGTAAGGAAGAAAAGCTGTGGCTTAGCTTAATTAGGAGAAAGACAGGAGTCCCTCTGGGAACTTTGTGACTTAAATATTTATCTGAACTTCTACTCTGTACTGATGTTTCCAACTTATTTCTCATGCAGAGCTGAGTATGCATGCTGCTCCCTATAGGAATTCTCTAGTCCCTTTCTGTAAAGACTACTAACTTTTATAATTAGTCTTGCACTTACATTAAAGCAGAATTTTACACATTGCTCCCTTCCTCCACATACATTCATATGGACAGACATCCTCGGAATCAGGGGCTCTGAAATATAACAGCTTCATTCTTGTTCACAGCAACAACTCTGTTTGCAAGGATTTAATACACACAAAAATCCGTATCTGAAAACATTCTCACAAAAGCATCTTTTGGTTCCAAGTTCTGTTTTAAAATACCTACTTCTAAAGGAAGAAAAGTATACAAAGTATAGTCTTGTGTAAAAGGCTTCTGTGAAACTCCTTGGTATCAAAATTGCTAGAAACTGGAAATGAGAGACAACAGAGATACAGAAGCACACAACCAAATTAGGCTTCTTTCACAAGAAAAACCTGTTTTAAAACTTCAAAACGAACAGAGCTGAAGATTACTCTCAATAAATTAATGACTTTTCATTTATGGATCCAGTATTTCAAAACAGGTCTGTCTGGTACTGCTTCACAAAGTATCAGATCTAGTGTAAATTTAAATAAGCAGGGCTGCACTGCCACTCTTGAATCACATGCCTAGGGGCTCTCCAGCTATACCAGTCTTTATTCCTCCTACTCTGGTGTAGGCATCTCTCTCCAGCATTTCTGGCTTTAAGAAGCGATCCTATTGCCTAGTTCAGAACATAAATTCATGAATAAGAACAGTCATCTGCCTTCCTTATCACAGCAATTAAGTCAGGACAACTTTTGTCTTCCTGATAGTAAGGTATCTGGAACTACAACTTTTCAAACTTCTGGTTAGTAGCCTGCATACTCCATTACTGCACTTTAAACACTGGCCCTCAAAGCTGAGCCTTCACCTGCACAGGGAACTAAATTTCACACCATAGGCTGCTCAGATCTCAGCTTTTTTCCAACCACTACATGGGAGACTGAAGAGAAACACTCTTTGTTACAAATAGTAATTCTCAGAAACCACTGGTGAAAAAGCTGCAGTCTCTAATGGTAAATTACCTACCCAGCCTTGCTCTAGGAAAGCCAAAACAATCTGGAGACTGCCTTGGAAGCAAAAGCAACAAACTGATAAATTACTCTGAGGAACAAGGAACCAACCTGTGCCAAGCATAGCTTTTTCCCAACCAATTTGGGATTCTGGGACAAGAGCTAGATCCCATAGGAGAAAGTCCACATTCAGATTTAAATCCTCAAACTGAATTCTAACTGAGTATAACAAACAATACGTGACAAAAGAAAGAAAAAACTCTTCAAAATTACTTCTGGGACTTTCCACAGTGCATCATTAAATTCAAACACATATTGCCAAAATGTAAAACAGAGTAATCACAAAAGCAAGCTATTCTTGAGGTTTACGAACTCTTCTGCTCATCTTAATTTAATGACTCCTAAGCATGTCATGACATGTTTCTGGGAACGTAACCATGCTACTTCAACATGCTATTTGGCAAAACCCCAAAGCTAACTCATATTTTTTAACTTCATGCCTTCTTATCACATTCCCTTCCCAACCCCTCCCCCCAATAATTTGTAGTCTCTAATTAATGCAGTATGCAGACCACTCAAATACCTCCCTAATTCACAGGAACATAACAAATGTTATATTTAAAATGGTGTAATACCCAATTTAGAAATGTCACCTCCTTCCTACTCTATGTTTAGGGCATAAATATAAAAACTGGCTACACTTACATAGCACCACAGTTGGAGACTTGCAATAAAAAACAAAGCCACTGTATTTTTACTTACTGATGTAAAGATAAAACAGTCCTGAAATTGAACCATCCATCTTCAAAGATGATTTTACTGAATTAAATGTAATGCTATCCTGAAATATTCCATATCATTATTAACAACATGCATTTCTGTATGTACAAAACTAAGGGGATTTTTTTCAGATCTTTTTAGTCTTTGCCAATTGAGCTAAAGGAGCAATAAGGATTCCAAAGAACATTTACATACAAAGCAAATTCTGTTAATACAAAAATTGTAATGTTTTATTTTACTTCTTTTTTAAAGGAGATAAATAAAATGTGAATGTTATTCATATGCCAAAATGCAGAATTCACCCACCCACTGTATGGTACAACTGCTGCAAAGTTACAATCACAGAACCTTGACTAACTTCTATTATGATTACAGACTACAGTAAATGATACTGAAGTGTAACAATTATTGCACTATGTTTCAATGCACTAAATGTAGTAAAACACCATCAAAAAATAAACAAAGATGACCGTGTCAAATGACTTTATATGTTATATTACATAAGTTATGTTCAAGTTTGGGAAGACTATCAGAGAGAACATTTTATTTACAAATCCTAAAGAAAAGTATTTGCAAAAATTTTTAAAGCACATGTAAAAATAAACATACTTCTTTTAATTTCTCTCAACTGTCTAAATGCACATATGCATTATTCCAAGGCACTTTTTATTAAAAACCTTATAAAAGAAGGGAACACTTTAATATACTTCAAAGCCAGTTCCTTCAACACCTCACTGTCGAATCTACTACCTTCATATTTTAAAGACCAAAATCTTATAGTTTGATAGCTATTCCCACTCCATTGGAACAAGGTTCTCTTTGAAGAACCTTAAGTGCACTGAAAACAGCAACCTACCTACACACTGTACTTTTGCCCATTAACTTTTTGTCTCTGCTGAGGCAAGCAAATTTTGACTGATGACCGCTTCCTGTAAATGAAGTAGATTAATAAAACATTATTAGTAAAAATATATTATCTTCCAAGCTTCTTATAATTCCTACTGTTCCATAAACAGGAAAAAACTCCACTTGAAAACATTTTATGGACTGCAAATAATATGAAAATAAAATAAAAGGTTCTGGGTAGTTTTAAAGCAAAAAAACCCAAATGCAGTATAAATTAAACTAAAACAGGAGTCATTAACTGGAGAAATTACATTTTAAAACCAAAATTATTACTTGTTTAGAGACTTGGGAAAAGGATGTATCAGCAGTCTTGCAATTTTTTTTCCAGAAAAAGAAAATTCACAAAATTAACTAAAAGTCTAGAGATCCAATGTATCTACAGATCCTTTCTCCAAACAGAAAGGTACAGATGCCTTGATCCTGTAAAGAGAAGTTACTCTAATAATACAGATTTGTCTCTCAAGAAAACCACATAAGAAATCACAAATGCTCCCAAAGTTTGTTTTAACTGTGTGTAATTTATTCTCTGCTAACCCAAACAGACCTTGAATACTGACAACTCCTTATTATCCATCTTAAAGGGAACTTTTCCTCCTTACAAAAAGACAGAAATCCTTCCAAACCAATGCTTGGGACAGCAAGGGAACAAGCCCACATTTATGGCCCAACAGTTTTCAGAGATTACTGGAAAAACAAAACCCAAGCTGAAAGCACAGAATCTCTGTTTCCAAATCCAAAGAAGAAGGAAGAGAAAAACCATTCCCAACAGAAATCTTAGTTTACTGAGAAAATAATAGGAAGAAAAAATAATTAAAACCACCAATCAACACCACCCCTCCGCTCCCAAAAAACAAAAACCAAATAATAAAACAAACAAAACCCAACCAATCAACAACAAAAACAACAACAACAAAAAAAACCAACAAAAAAGAAACCACAAACAAACAAACAAAAAAAACCACAATTGGGAAAGCAGAGGATGACCTTTCAGGATTTGATGAAGGAACCAGCTGTTGCATACAATCATAAAGTTATCCTTATCTTTCACCAAAAAGCCACGGTAAGAGTGATGCCCAGAAGAGGCAAAACACAACCCCATGTGGGTACTGCAGCTACATGGTAAAAATCCACCAAGTGTTTTGCACTGTCCCTTCTCACCATATGTAGTGAGTTTCTGTGGTTGGGTTTTGGTAGCAGTGGGGCTACATAGGTGGCTTCTGTTAGAAGCTTCCCCTGTCCTATGGAGCCAATGCCAGCCAGCTCCAGGACAGACTTCCTGCTGCTGGCCAAGACCAAGCCAATCAGGAGTAACAGCAATGACTCTGTGATAACATATTTAAGAACAGAAGACTGTTGAACAGAAAAAATTCCAGCCAGGGAAGAGCAAAGTGAGAACATGTGAACAACAATGTAGACACAGCAGTCAGTGCAGAAGTGGTGGTGGGGGGGAGGTGCTCCAGGCACTGGAGCTGAGGTTTCCCTGCAGCCCGTGGTGCAGCCCATGGTGGGGCAGCTGTGCCCCTGCAGCCCATGGAGGACCATCGGGGTGCAGAGACCCCCCTGCAGCCCATGGAGGAGCCCATGCTGGAGCAGATGGATGCATGAAGGAGGCTGTGAGCCCATGGGAGGCCCAGGATAGAGCAGGCTCCTGCTGGGGACCTGTAGCCTCTGGAGAGAGGAGCCCACGCTAAGCAGGCTTTTTCTGGGTAGGACTCGTGGCCCCTGTGGGAGGGACCCCATGGGAGCAGGGGAAGGACTCCTCTCCCTGAGCAGTGGCAGAAACAACAACTGACCGTAACCCCCATTCCCCATCCCCCTGCACCACTGGGGGGAGGAGGGAGAACACAGAAGAAGGGGTGGGGGGAAGGTGTTTTTAAGACTGTTTTTTTTCTCACTCTTTGGAACCTCTTGGTAATAAATTTAAATGTTGAGTCTGTTTTGCCTGTGAAGGTAACCAGTGACCTCTCCCAGATGTTATCTCAACTCATGAATCCTTATCTATTTTTATTTCTCTCTCTCCTCTGTCCAGTTGCAGAGGGAGAGTGAGATGGCTTTAGTGGGTACCTGGTTTCCGGCCAGGGTCAACCCACTACACCATACTTTCCTAAGGTTCCTTACCTCAGAAAAGGAGCAAAATTACAAAGTAGTTTTACTAATTTGCATATGCTTATTCTGCAAAATTATTTCTTCAGCTTTAAGAAAGACAACAAAAACACTTCACTGAAATTATTCCCAAAGCATTGACATTGCAGGGGACCTATTGAAGGAGGCTACCACCAAACATGGCCTTGAGTGTCTGACAAAAGCAACCAAGTTGCCCAGGCCTACAGCAGTTAGCTATAAAAATACAAATTATACTACTTAAATCTTACTGGTAGAATCACTGCCTGAAAAAGGACTGGATCTTTCAAGGACTCCAGTGCTGTAGGACAGAATTTACAATTACCAAAACTCCCTTCTGCATAGATTCTAAATTCACTCCATATTCAGTAATGCTGCTTTCTTTACTTGTCTTAAAATGTTATGATTTCAACTCTACTATCCTACACTTGACAATATTACATATTTCTTCTAACATCATAATTATTCAGACTGTAATAAATTTATTTTAATTCATTAAATTCAGACTTGCTACACGTGGAATGACTCTTCATCCTGTCTTACAAATCTACTGGTGGGAGCATGCACCATAGCTGATACGCAAATATACCAAAATCATAAGAGAAATTAAAGAGAAAGGGTTATATTCTTTTCCTGAATAGATATTACAAACTTGATCACAACATAAGCAACTGGTGCTAGGGTATAATCAGTAAATAACTGTCATAATTCCAACACAAAACTAGTTTTCCTCTTTGTTTTGCAAGAAGGGAAAGAAAAGGCTTGGGTTACAAAGCCTCTCTATGCAGTCACAGAAGGAGCTGGGTTTCTTTGAGCTCCTCCCTCTCCTCTCTTTACAGCATCAACACCAAAGAAGCTTTCTGTTCAATTCCAATAGAAGAAAGGCATCTCATGCCATTATAATGCGATCTTGACCAGACAAATTAAAATAGCATTGATGAAATTCGAAAACACTTAAGCCTCATCATCCCTAGTAAGGGACTGATAAAGCACAAGTGGGACCTTACTCAAGTACCAAAATATGTATGACTGAAGAGCATTATGGACAAACCAAATTGGAAATAAATATATTTGAATGAGAAAATGCCAATCTTCATGTTGTTACATATGTATATAACGTTATATTGAGAAGACAACACACTAATACAAATATTGGTCTATTTCACCCATACAAACACAAACGCTATTCTGATTAAAATCACTGTGATTCCACCTCATTACAGGGCTTTTGCTCTCCAAGTTTTATGGGAAATGAGAATTCTTTGGCCCAGAGGCTGTGCATCAAAATGCATTCTTCTTTTCCAAATCAGATGTTAATTTGTTGATTAAAAATTTTGCAGGAAACGTTAGATTCTCCATAGCAAACATTACCTCATACTCAAGAGAGCCTGACAGCTGCTACCATGTCCTGCATGGTAGTTCCTGGCTCCTGCTGAGCCTTCACTTTTCCAGAAGGTGGAAGCCAGTATCTACTGGGTAATACTATTAACAGCTCTCAGACCCAGCAGAGACCTCAAACAGCCATCCTGAGGAACCTATTCCAGCATCTGACCATACTTAGCCAAATTCCCTCCAACCTCCTGAAAATCCTTTTATACAAAACATTGTGATGATCTTGACCCTTCCCAGAGGGCAAAGAACAGCTCTCCCTCTCCCTTTCCTTTGGTGCTTGTGAGGCATGGTATTGTACTCATTCCCAGCAGAGAACAGCTCTGCTCTTCTGATCCATCTTGCTAGAACCATTCCTTTTAAGTCCTGTAAGTACAGTACTCCACATCAGGTCCTAACATCTTTGGATGCAGCAACAGTATTTCACTACTATTTGGACACAGGCACTCATGTGAATACATCTTCGAACAGTGTCAGCTTCCTTCTCTCCCTCAACAACACACAGCAAATTTGAATGTCTTACTGCTCACTACAAGCATTACATCCTTTCCTGCTAATTGATCAGTACTCCTCATCGTGTATTTTTACTGTTTAGCATTTCCGTATTTGCCTTTTTATACAAAATAGGTACATTTACTTTCTATTCTATCAGCTGATAATTCAGGCAAGTACAGACAAGTACTAGGTTCAAGAAAATGTATATGAAGCCTGAAGTATCCCTACAGTTTCACAGTGAAGTACTCATACTACAATTTTCCAGACAACTGACTGAAGCTTCAGTCCAGGACACACCTCCTTCACTAAGTTATGTAGACCTTACCAGGGTATGTCAAAAGCTCTTCTTAAAACACATGGTATCTACTGCTTCTACTCTAGTCAAATCTTCTGTTCCACCACCAGGGAACATGATTGCTTCAGAACGGATTGACTTTGTAAAAATCTCTTTCAAAATAAGCTTTAAGACTAATACCCAATCAAATTCCATCTATAATGCGAGCTTTACAAACCTTAAACAAGTCACCAACCCTCCATTCTGACAAACTGAGAAAAAACATTGGTAAGCACTTAAAAAGCTTAACCACAACAAGAGAAAGAAGACAATACACTCTAAGAGGCATTTTAAAGGCTTTTAGCTTGAGATTTGACAAAACCACAAAAAAATCCAAAATTTTCTCAAACAACAGCTTCCCTTTCCCCCTCTCCACTTTGATTTTCAGAAATACTATGCAGTATTCACATTGACACAGTTCCACTTGGAATTTCAGACAAGATAGCTTGGACAATTGTCTCCATACAAAAAAATCCTAGTTAAAAAAAAAAAACAGAACACACATGGTACAGGTCAGAAAAACTGAAAAATATTTCTTCTAGCATTCCAAACTTGAATACAAGTTAATGCAAAGCTAAAACAAAGACGCCTCTGAACTTAGGTCACATACAGCAAGGACAAATGGAAATATTTCATTATTGGAAAGATTTCATTATTTAATTTACAAATTCCAGTAAAAATGTCAAAACAGTGTTTATACTAAAAACACATTAAAATACACATCATTTTGCAAAATTTCCTCTATGCTAAGCTTGGATATAGCTTTTGATATTCTGTTTCTATTTGTGATACATGAGTTTACTATTCGCATTTTGAATACTGGACAAAGTTGCCT